AGAGAGAAGAGAGAGAGAGAGAAGAGAGAGAGAGAGAGAGAGAGAGAGAGAGAGAGAGAGAGAGAGAGAGAAGAGAGAGAGAGAGAAGAGAGAGAGAGAGAGAGAGAAAGAGAGAGAAAGAGAGAGAAAGAGAGAGAAAGAGAGAGAAAGAGAGAGAAAGATAGAGAAAGAGAGAGAGAGAGAGACTCTCTAGATCCAAGTTGACACAAACATTCATCACTATCCGACTCCGCCATCCTAAGTTCCGGGCACCGGCTGCGGCTCCTGGTGACCGGGTCGGAAGGGACACTCCAGGCTCTCCGGATACTTACCTGGGCCCTCAGATCCCCCTAGTGGGTTAAATGGAAACTAACACTAAACACTAGAAGGCAAAAAGGCAAGGGGATGGCTGGGAGCCACCAAGTTACCCAAACCAAACATGTACCCTTCCGATCATGGACGGAAAGAGGGTATCTCCCAAGCACTCCTCCTCCTTTTTCTCCTTCTCCTCCTCCTTTTTCTCCATCTCCTCCTCCTTTTTCTCCTTCTCCTCCACTTCCTTGTCGCCCTGTCGGAGAATTGACATGTGGCATGATCTTACGCACATTCGACCTGCCTGGGCGGTGGCTTCAGGCTCACCCTTTGCATCGCCCACTTCTCTCTCAGGCAGGTGAGCACTCGGGATTCTATCTGGAGTATCCTCCTTGGCTTCTCCAATAAATTCTTGACTCTGCTTGTCCACCTTGGCTTCTCCCAGCAGTTCTTGACTCTTCTTATCCTCCTTGGTTTCTCCCGGCAGTTCTTGACTCTTCTTGCTTTTGCTTGAATCCGAGTCCCCCAAATCGTCTGAGTCGCTCGAATCGCCAGCTTCATCTTGCTGATCTGGTAGGTCTTTGTTGACGTCTCTCTCAGGGCCATCTTCCCTCTTGGCTGCCTCACTTGCGCCATCCTCACCTATCTTTGATGCTTTGCGCTTGCTTGAGTCAGAGCTCCAGTCAGAAGAGTTCTGGGAAGCCTTTTCAGAGAAGCTCTCCTCCAAATATTTGTCCTTTCCCACTTCCGCATCCGGCAACTGCTTGTCTGCACCTTCGGTTCGATTGGCTCCATATTCCTGCAAAGCGAGTGCCAACGCATGCTAAACCGCTGTCTCTAGGCCGTGGGGATGTCTGCAGGTCCAAGTCGGAACATCTCCCCTCCAGAAGAAGTCGCGCCCTTTTGGCTTCTCTGAAAACACCTCGAAAAGAGGGCACCTTCCAAACAAATACCCCAAATAGTGCAGACGCATCCTACCCCTCCTGCGCGATCTGCGGCTGGTCCCGGCTCTGGTCTTTCTTTGGAGGGTCCTCATTCAAGGAAGCTGGGGGTTGATCAATATTCCTGGCCCCCAAATGACGATGGGTAACTTCTCCCATTTGGTGGCAAATACTGTTTAGTGAATTCCCCCAACGGCCATCCCATGTTCCTGGGACCTTTTGATCAACTTTCAGATCTTCATGCACCACCCCCCCACAGCTTGCAGCTCGAGGCCAGGACCCAGTTCCCAAAACCATGATGCATGAAAGAGGTCCTTGGATTTCAACAGATCGACCAACGCTCGAAAGACCGGGGCAGACCGGGGCAGACCGGGGACTTTGCACTTTGAGATCTCGTCTGGGTCGCGCTGGTCGCGAATGAAAGCGAGTCCTCCAAGTCGCTGTCGCTGATGCCTTGTGGCATATGAGGTGGAAAACTGGAACAAAAATGCTCCGGGCAATCCATGTCATGTATACCTATATATATATATATACACCAATTGGATATATACCTACATGGATTGTCTGGGATGCAAAGAAACAAACAACCCGCCGAAAAGCCAAAGCCCCATCCGAACACTCCAACGCCGATGCCTGGCACAGCTTCCAGGCTGTCGCTCGACACATCCAGCGGCTCAGGGCCTGAAGCTGAACACAAACAGCAGTTGCGAAAAGACCCGAATCGAGCGAATGGCAACAAACATGAAGACCCAAAGTTGCCGCTCTCTCTCCCTTTCTCTCTATCTTTCTCTCTCTCTCATTCTCTCTCTCTCTCTTTCGCTCTCTGTCTCGGTGGTTTGTGGCGTGTGTGTAATTGTGTGTGTGTGTGCGTGTGTTCTTGTCTGTGTTCTGTTTGTGTTGGGGTTTGCGTGTGTGTGTGTGTGTGTGTGTGTGTGTGTGTGTGTGTCCCTGTCTGTCACCGTGTCTTTGTTGAGTGCACCTTTGTTTTTTTTCAGGCGGAAATCAAGAGCACCGCTTCTGCGGGCGGCCTTCGGGGGCTTCTTCTGCCACTTCGGGCGCGGCCGGGGCTGCCAAAGCTTTGGCAGCGCCTGCGTGGCTCCACGTGAGTGGCTCAACGTGGCTTTTCCGTATCCATGTCCCAAACACAAAGAGCCTCGTTACGGCCGTGATCATAACCATAAACGTATCGGATATCTTCCCATAACAGCATAGAATGGCATACAGGTAGTCAAGAAGTGAGGCATGCATCACGCTTCATTGCTCGACCTCTGCGAGCCTTCAGCGGGTGCCGCTGGCACGGGTGATCTCTCCTGAACACCCAGCCACTGGTCTTGATCTACAGTCAGGTAAAAGTCGATGGCACAAGTTCCCCATTTAGAGCCACGGTTCGATCCTCCTTTTACCCTCATTACTTCCCGACCTTAAGGGAATTGTGTCATCTGCATTTATTTTGGTGTAGCAAGCAGCATGGCAGCAACCCTGCTTGGCTTGGCTGTTCGCTGCGTGCCTCAAATGTATGCACCGTGACAAGCTCGAACGCACCCTCCAAGTCGTGGGTTTGTCCCAAAGGATTTGGCTTGCGCCCAAACGCGGGGCGGTTTCCCTGGGTTTTCTTTCAATTACAGCAGCCAAACAGCTAAAAGGCCCTCAACAAGCGGTCAACCCGTTCTCGCTGATGTGGGGCAAAAGCAAACCAACCTCAGCCACCCTTCCCCCTTCTTCAACCAAAGGCTCATGCTTGAACCAACCTCAACCCGTAAACCGCAGCGTCTCACTCAAACCTCGCCTTGAGTCCCCCACACCCGAGCGCCTCCATGCAGGCAAATTCGGCTCATCGCGCCAAGAGTGCGCGGTTGGAGCACGCGAACCGAAGCGAAGGGCTGCTTTCACTTGGTTGCGCTTTGCCTTTTGGTTTATTAGCAACATGTTCAAAGATGTGTATAGATATATATATATATATATATCAAACGATTGTTGGAGGTGAAAGTAGCGTGCCATGAAATGATCGTTGCAATCATTGTCTTAATTTGTTGCGGTCTTCTTCAAAGGACAAAAAACCACTCAAAGAAAACCTCTGGAGCCATTGGCGGAAGCTCCGTCGGACTCCTCCGCCCGAATGAAGCTCTCCAACCCCATTGAATTTGGTTTCTACCAAGTCTGGCTAAATATACATAGAACTACAAAGAGTCCAAGTGTGAGAGGATTGAAACAAGTGAGGGACAGCATCAAAGACGCTGGGTAACTGGGTCAGCTGCGCACTCGAAAAGAGTTGGGACAGACAGAACCCACAGGTACCAAGGTAAACACCTTAGACACCCGGGGAAAAAAGTTGCGAAGTACCTGCATCAACCCGAGGCTCAAGGCTGCAGGTACATGTGGCTCATGATAGTTCAGACTTCAATCAGCCCCTGCCCAACCAACCTACATGATTGACCATCATATATATATATATATATACACAATATATATGTAAACATACATGTAATTAAAGGTTAATGTGGTCCGTATAACCCGCAATGAAACCAGGCAGTAGAAGCCACCTACTAAAACCAAATTTGTGGTTTTGGGCGCTGCTCCATCAACTTGCAGCTCCAGCTGCTAACTCGCCCCAATCCTTGCAGTTTTTGAAGGGGGTGGTTCATGGTGGTTCCTGTGCTTCGCATGATACCCATAAATGGATCTGCAGGTACTTGTTCTTCAGGCTTACCAACGCCGCACATCGCCAAGATGAGGGCTCCCATCCTTTTCTTAGCTTTTCGCTCTGCGATCGCGCTTTGCGAAGCCTGGAAAGTTCGTTGGAGCGCGTCCTTCTCACGTCCTTCGGGAGTGCAATCGCACGTGCGGGTCTCGGGCAATGGTGGCAAATGACAAAATCTGTGATACCGATTAGCCATTGATGCCCATCCAACCATGACTATTGACTAAGTACTTTATCACCAGGGATTCCTTGGCCACACACAGAAATGATGGTTCCGATTGATCAAGTGATCACAACAGGTGCCTCTTGATTCCTTTCATGTCGCTTTGTCGACCCCCTACCTTAAGGGGCAGGGGGCGGGGATTCCTCCAATTCCTTTTTCTAGTTGGAGGGGGTGGGGATACTTCTCATGTATCTTCTTTCAGTGCTTGAACACATTGCTGCGTTGCACATATGGGTGCGTCTTTTTCTAGGGAACCTCCCCAAGATTGTGGTTGTCCTTTGGATTTCCTTCAAAGCCACAAAAAGAGGGGGTACCCCCCAAAACGTTTGAAAGAAAAGCTCCTGACAAAGCTTTCCAGAAAGTTGCAACGCCACAACGCACTGCTGCGCGTCCAGTTGACGTTCAACCTGGCTACGCCTTGTTTCGAGGATACGCTTTTGAGGTTGCGGCAACATGCAAACCAAAGCGAAGCCCAGAGGAATTTCATGCTGAGGTCCTCCCCATTTAAAAAAGGAAAAAGAAAGAGACACGCCAATGCCACCCCAAAGGAGACTCACTTGAAAATTGCAACCAAAGGTCGAGTTGGAACCCGATGCACCTATGACCGGGAAAAGGTGGTTCGGCGTTCCTGTTGGTTTCAAGTTTCCCTAGGAATCTGTGGTCAGAACTCCGGACTTGTGCAGCATGACCTTTTTTAGTGAGCTGGAAAGCTTTAAGCTTCCAAAACCTAGGCCCTCAGAAAAGAACCCAAAGAGTTCAATTTGAGGCAAAGGGACTCCAGGCTCGGAGTTTCTGGGAAGCTTGGCCCCTTTGAACAGGGCTCCTTACAGGGCCCATTGCGATCCTCTTTGTCCTCTTGAGACCCTGCTAGAATTGTGCTGCTTGAAGGGCTGCTATTGGTGCCCGCGCGCGACAGTTTCCATGGGGCCCACGGGGCATCCGGCCCCGCCTCGTTCTGAACCTGGCAGCCGCATCGGCCGGAGCGACGTCCTGAAAAAGCACAGCTTTTGACGCTTGGCTTCCCTTGCGTTCGGTTTCTATTACCCTCCGTCGGTCCGCGTTGCCATGGAACCTGACGAATTGAGGGGTCCTGGTTTGGACGATCTTTCTTAAGGGACCCTCTGTGGTGAGTTGAGCCAACCCCCATATGACATTTCAGATTCGCTATGACATTTCAGGATTCGCTCTGCCGAAGCATTTAGTTTTGGATCTGCAGCCCATTCTAAATTTGGGCTTTGCGACTAAACCAGGCTTTCCCGCAGAAAACTGTCTGTCTGCTTGCTTTTGGCTTCCTTTTAAAGCATCCAAAATGGGTAGAAGGGGAATGGGGAGCTGCTTTGTCCGAAAAGCACATCCATCTTTGAGTACAACCAGCAAAGGACTCATACCAGCGCTCTTGAAGTGTTGGGAGAAGCTAGTACTCGGTCTTCAGTACCGGAAGCAGCCTCCCGTCATGTCTAGAGCCCCCAAATCAAAGTCCGAAAGGAATTTCATTGAATTGGACGCTTGTTGGGTTCCATGGTGCCTAGTGTATTGTTTTTTCGCCAACCATAGAGGAATCTCAGCTTGAAATCGGACCCAAGGTTCACGGAATTATTCTGCCTTCCAAGTAAAAACTGCGAGACGCTTGAATCGAGCCGCGGGACAGCGATCACACCTTGTGTCTCTCGCGCCAGAAACGGATGTCTCCTAAAATCGGGTCGAACTAAATCCATCGATCCCGTGGAACGCTTCGAGCTCTACATCCTGCAGTCCCTCATGGCCCGATGGGAAGATTTGGTGGCCTGAGGCTTGCAGTGGGTGGAACTGAGTCAATGCCCCCACGTGGCTTGCCGGACCCTTGGTTGATTTTGGGATTCCTCTTTGGTTTGCCTAAAACAAACCAACACCCAAAGAACACACCCTGACACGTGAGGAAGAAAACAACGACATGCGTTTCCCTTTGGTGTCCATGGTGTTCCTTAGCAATCCCAAGACGCAAGACGGGCACTCCTGCCATCCAACAGAAAGCATCTCTGAAAATGATGGATCAACTAGTCCATCCATTGTTTTGATCATTGACACCTTGCAAACATAGTGTCTCACCCAGGCGTTTTTTTTTTACAGAAGGACTCAGTTCCCACCTATTCCCAGCTCGCACGGCATCAAAGCATTGACGCCGGATTCTACGCTTAAATTGGCGTTAAGGCTGTACAAAGCAGGCTGCGAATCCATCTCCCTTCATGGTGCTTTATGCTGATCTCGCACAGTCAGTCTCAAAATGGGGGGACTTTCAAAATGGGAGGTTTGTCGTTTCCCCTTTAAACCCAGCTGAAACGGGCACCCTCAAGAAACAAACACACTCGCATGAGTACTTCACATGAATTCATCGATTGCAGCCGCCGGCAGCACCTCTTGATCATAACGTGCCATGGGCAAATCTCGCACGCAGGGTGTACCACACCCGGCACGAGTTGCCCTCGGTGCACATAAGTTGCAAACTCATCACCAGGAATGGGCTGGGCCGCAAGCTGATCGCATCAGGTGCCTGTTGCAAACCTTAGCTTCCCTCTAGTTGGTTGGCTTGGATGGTTGGGGAGTTTGCCATGTACCTCAAAAGACAGGGATTCAAATCCCCAACCCAATCGCCTTGCTCGGGCTTACCTGAAAACCATTGTTGCGCATCGAACCACATGCATACCAGTGGCCTCTTCTCACAACAGTTGTGTAACTCAATCACACACACACACACAGCTCCACTGGTAGAGAAAAAAAAAACGGGACGGAGACACACAGGGGCTCTTGGTGCCAGGGCACAACGTGTCAACCCACGCTGGAAACCGAGTGCCAAGACTGCGGCCAACTTCACCCGACTAAGCAGCTTGCACTCCACGCAGGTCCGAAGGTTCAGGCGCGCAGTGGCACCCTTTCCCGACTGAGGCTTGCATCTAAAGCCTGCTCCTGGTTGCTGAACATATTCAATTCAATACGAGCAAGTCTATATTATAAAATTGATACTCATCCCAGTGAAGCACTGGAGATGAACAGCCCAATCTCTGCTCATGCTCAGTCCGAACTAAGAGGTTTGCCCTCTGCGGACAATTGGTTGCCCTTCTGCTTGCCTCTCGACACCATCCAAAAGTGGGTCCATGTTTAATTTTGGACCAAGTTCTGAGAATAGGCTGTTGACATCCTGCATGCTCTACCGCCCCCACGTCAGCATCAGCGTCGACGACTGTCCTGGTAAAGCCCCAACGCCTCGCGCGCGCCAGGCACGCGCGCATGGTTCAAAAGCGACACCGCCGACATACTTGCTGACCCAGGGACCCATGGATTGGACAGATCTGTTCAAGCCTTTCAGGTTCAAAGGGACACCCCAAAACAGGCGGTTTCGCACTTTCTTTCAAGTTGATATGGCTGCGTTGATTCGGGCTCTCCCAAATTCCGCGGTTCCGCCCGTTCACGCGATTTGGCCTTCTGCCCATTCCGCCCATTGAGACTTCGCTGGTTTCGCCAAATGGCAGGCGCCGGCCTTGTTGAGGATCCCGTCCAGGTCCTCCAACTTCTCCAGCTCCTTCGTCTGCTGTTCCTCCAGGTTCATGAACACCTCGGAGAGAAAAAGCAAAACCCGGCTGGGAAAGGAGTCAGACAGGGACATCAGAAACTCGTAAGCTGGATGTGTGCGGGCACAAGGATGCAATGGGTGTTGCAATCATCAAGTTTTGTTGGCCGAGCTTCTCTAATCCAAACAATCAGCAGGCCAGCGACAGCCCAGCTGCCTTCAGTCAGACAGTAGACATGAAGTGTTGATGATGCTTACTGAAGCAGTGGCCTATGCTTGTGCTGTCGCAAGTGTATGACAATGCGTTTGCCCGTGTTGAGACGTGGCTCAAAATCAGATTGATCAGCTGAACATTAACCCCTGGTATCTGGTATGAAGGAGTAGCCCACACCCACGAATTCTTGTGGCTGCACTCAGATTCTATTCAACTATTGTCAAGGCAACTGTCCTGTGCACTGCCGCAAAATGGTTCTCAGGAGCTCAGGGCTGCAAATTCCTGGCTGGCTGGAGCCTTTGCTTTGCTTCAGAAATACATTGGGATTTATGGAATCGCCCACCATGCTAGAGGATTAGCTTTAAAGCATCCTACAACGAAAAGGTGCCAAGTCACTTTAATTCAAACCAGGGCAATCCATCTATGTTCAACCACCCACAAAGCCTCACCAGGGTTCCAGCATTGCAGGTCAACGGTCCATACGAAACCTAGGACTTAAACAATATATTATGGTACCAAACGTTGTCCCGTGTTTTCCTACCACAAACACTTTGCCATCTATCTGACGAGGCGCACTTTCGTCCAGCCGCGCATCAATCTCGCAGCCGAGGTCTCTCTTCAGATCTCGCGTCCATACTTGCAGCCTGGCCGATCCAAGGCTGCGAATCCCAAAGTATGTGGCTCCCGGAAATGGATAAATATGGGTGTGCGTTGTTTAGAGGGAAACCAAAAGGAATGCTATTGTTTAGGGGGTCCCCCTGGTTGAGAGATCCAATGATTCGCTCTTCGAACCTACTGCATGGGAAAGTTGCCCCCAAATTCTCGGATTTTTGGCCAGGTGAGCTGCAGGCTAGCTCGTGCAACTTTACTCGCAAGGTAGACGGGTAAAATAGGAGGTAACATACTTGCTAATGGCTTATCGCCATCATGACTAGCCATTGTCTTAAAGTACCTCAAAACCTCCTCCTAATTATACAGGCTGCCATATGAGCCATCTCCAAACTTAAAGGTGCAAGCACGGAATATCTCTGGAGGCTTCGTTTTAAAGGGTCGCCTTCGTTTTACACAGGGTCGCCTTCGTTTTCTCAGGGCTTTCACCCTATTCCACCCGACTACCGCCTTAAGGCGGAGGATTTTGGGATACCTCCTCTCAAGCCCCCTCCGGGCACCGGCATGATTGCAAGCTCTACGAGTGAGCTGGAATTCGGACGATGGCTGGTCAACCGAAATGGATGAGGCCAATTTCCAACAAACAAAGAATCGCTCCCCATCATGCCTTGTTTTTCAAGGAGGCCCCCCCCCCCCCCAAGCGGCTTCCCTGTAAACTAGCCTTAAACTAGCCGTTGTTTTTCAAGGAGGCGAGTTTACAGGGAAGCAGCTGGCTGGGTTGCCGGGGGGGGGGGGGGTTGGGGGAGCTGCAGGCGCAAGATCTTGCCGTTTGATCCGGCATGAAAGTCGAAAGTCGCAGTGGATGTTCCCGGAGTCCGAGAAACTGTTCCTTTTGCCCGGTCCCAAAGCAACAAAGAAAGAAACCAAACCAAACCAAACCAAACTAACAAACAAACAAAAAACAACACAAAAACCAACAAAAACGAAACCAAACCAAACAAACGAACAAACCAAACAAAAGAGGAGCAAACCAAACACACGTACAACGGTCAACATGGGCTTGCGACCTGGGAATTTGCACCCCGCCTTGATTCTAGCGTTCTGCGGAATTCTTTGGATTGTTCGATGAGCTCACTGGACACGTCGATCAAAAGCTTGCGATAGTCCATGCCTCCGCAGACCCACACCCGAGCAACTCCTGTGGGTTCTATTGCTATATGCTTCGACCATGGCACAAGTGAGGTTTGAAGAACGCTGCCAAACGCAAACATTGACAACAACAAACGGGGACTGTGGAAGCCCTGTAGGAAACGACATGTCAAAGGGCCTTGGGAAGCCTGTTGCACAGTCCCATGGAAAAACCTGTGGGAAACTCATGGGAGAATCCAGTGGAGTCCCGAGGATGCCTAATCCCCCGAAGCGCCAGTTGCGCATTTTTTGTGTTCATCAGGTTGGTGGCAGCGGTCCGTTGGTCCCTCCTCCTGAGACACACTCCGACTTCGGTTGACACCCAAATGGGCTTGTGCTTCTCTAATTTAAGGGTTGCCGGGTTGCCCTTTTTACCTTGGTTTTACGGGAAACCGAAAAATACCCAACAAAAGGCCGGCCTCCGCATCTGGAGCCAGCTAGCGGCCAGCACTTGCCTTGGGCCCAATTCCTTGTTAAGAGTTGTTGGAGTGCGGGTTCAAGCGCCATGAAAGCCGAGCAGTTTGGAGGCTCGGAGAAATGGGAAGGAGGTCAAAACCGGCTCCAACCCCTCCACTGTCGACCCACATCGATGGATGTTTCAAACTGCACGAGCTTGGGATCCTTCGTGTTCCTTGGACTATCGGCTTGCCGCCGAGCAATCTTGCTTTGCTGGGACTCCAAGCTAGCTACCAGGCTGTGCCTTTTATCTTGGCTCGGCCAATATTTTGCCAGCGCAGCGAATCCATGCAAGGCAGCAACCTCGATTCGAAGTGATTGTACGCGAAGAGTATATATTGTGTGTGTGTGTCTGTGCGCACGTGATGTGCGAATGAGTTTCACTAAAATGTTGAATGGACTCGTCAATAAAGCAATAAAAAAAGGAAGCTGCTTGAATGAGGTTGTGGAACACCCCGATCGGAGAGGGTGTAGCTATCGCGAAACCCTAAAAGTTTAACTTTTGGTGGTTTAATGGAAAACCCATTCGTTGGCAAAAGGTTACAGTCCTAACATCCCTTGGCAAAATGCACCAAAGTCTTTGTACTGTTGGTTTTGAGAACCACAGCCATATCATCTGTCTCTTCTTTCTCTCCCCTATGTCAGCGAAGTGCTTGAACTGCGGTATGAGAGGTGTCCCAGGAGACTCTAAGCTGCTGGCTCTGCATGCGCTCAAGGAGTTGCTGCGCCACCCTCATCCTCAGACTTGGATCCCTGCAAGGGACAAAACGCGTTGCTGCTGGAAAGGGAAAACGATGGAAAACCAAAAGAAACGGCAAAAAAACACAGAGGTAGAAGTTAACTCTGGCAAAGCATCTGCTCCTTCGCAGTCTTGTTCCGTTCTGCTGCTTGGGTGCGAGGAGAGGTCTCAACCTGCCCGTTTGTGCAGGCTTGACGTGTGCGAACCCCAACCCGCCCCAACGTGCCCCCAACCGGGAACCCGCCCCAATCAGCCCACCCAGCCCTTTTAGCCTCCCGACGCGGCGAGCCTCGGCACGAGCTGAAGAATCGGCACGCGCTGAAGAAGCGGCTCGTGCGGTCGTCGGGGCCACCTGAGGAACTATTCATTGTGAGCGTTCCCAAGAGAGTTTCATGGCCACTGCCCAAAGCAGTTAACCATGGCACACACACACATGGCAAAAAATGACATTGAGAACTTGTCTCTGTGGCACAGGAGCTGCACTGAAAGAGCCAAACATTTTTGCTCCGGCCCACTTAGACATAACATGGAACAGAGGGTTCTGTTTACAAAGAACCCACCCCTGTTTAGTCTGGTTCCCCGGCAACGATAGCCCGACCTCTTCGGCGCCAGGATTTCCAAAGCCTCAGAGTTCGCATCGCCCGGCGAGCACGGGGGCTGCAAGCAAGTTGTATGTTGGGTCTCCTCAACAATCAGGACCCTCCTCAACAAATGGGAAGGTCGGCTCCAAGTTTTTGGCAAATCATGTCAAAGCGTCGCCGACGAAAATGTTTACCCAGAAACCGTTCTGCCCTCTTACGCCCTGCGATTTCCCTGCGCGGGATCTGCGGCTTGAATCATGCTGATTCCATTTCCCTGGAGTAGCCAAGGGGTTTCAGGCCCTGAACCCGAACGGGAAAGGGCGAGTGCCGGCGAAACAGGGATCAGCCGAGGCCAAGGGGCTGATGGAGTCGATGGTGAGGGATCTCTGGAAGACAATCACGTCGATGTTCACCAGGCGGTCACCGCAGCCTGCATCCAGCTCTTTTGCCTCGCTCCGGAAAGTCGCAGAGGAAAGTACATGAGTTACATGAGCCATAGTCAAAATGACTGGCTTCCCCAAAAGGACTCGAACTGTCTTTGGCGGGGCAGTTGGGAGAACAATGCCAAGGTGTCCACAAGAGGAGCGGAAAAACCTGGATGTGCTTAACGCCCGAATTTGGGACATGGGGATCCAACCGTCGTGGGTAAGCCGCGGCAGGTCTCCTTTTCCCTTGAATTCCAAGGAGACACCTGGACCCTCAAACTGCCCTGAAAGATGGGACATCACTCGTTTTGTTGTAGCTTGGTGTCCTTGCACAGCTTCTCCAGTCAGTGGGGGAGCGGTCGGCTCTGATCAGACCTACTTTGACTGCCACTTGCCGAGAGCTGCCCCCGTGTTTTTGTTTGTTTGCCGCATCTGTGCCTCGAAAATCGCCTGGCCGTCCTTCGGGTCCTTGCACAGGACCCACTTGTTGCCTCAGGCCGAGCTGATGGAAAATGGGCCAAGCCTCGGTGCCCGCTCAGTGCGCACCGAGCGGCACATGTAGTCGTTCACGGCAACCAGCAGGAAGGGGGCCTCCTGACAAGGGATTAAAGGCCGTCAGGAAATGCGCTTCCGCGACGCGTGAGCAAGACACTTTGGCGAAATCTGTGACTTCACCAAGCTTTCCAAGTGACCTGACAGAAACAAAGAGTTGGACCTTTTCGGGGTGAAACCATCTGCATTGGAAGTGGTATACTATGCATAAGCAAGTGGTATTCTAATTTTGGGCCATGCAGGCAAGGTTTCGGGAATTCTGCCAGTACATGGCTGCATCGATATTCCATATACATGTTATGCCACAGCCATGCATTGGGGGGCCAGCGCCAGTATCAAGCAGTGGCTGTAGTCTGTTTGGCCTATGCATTTCATTGGTTTGCAGCAAACCAAAGAAATGCATGAGCAAACACACACTACAATCTGTTCTTACATGCGTCATGCTACATGGTAATTGCACCACATGCCACATGGATAGCATCAACATGTGTTGAAGCATGCACAAACCTTTGTCCTCATGTTTGTGTATGCATGAGGGTAATGTTGCAGGAATTGTGCTAACACAAAGCGTAGTGCATACACAGGTCATGCCACAGCCAGGCACTGTGGGCCAGTGCCAGCATCAGGCAGTAGCTGCAGTCTGTTGGCCCACGCATTTCATTGGTTTGCAGCAAACCAAAGAAATGCATGAGCAAAACACACTACAAACTGTTCTTACATGCGTCATGTTGCATGGGTATTTGCACCACATGCCACGTGGCTAGCATCAACATGTGTTGAAGCATGCGCAAACCCTTGTCCTCATGTTCGTGCATGCATGAGGGTAATGTTGTAGAAACTGTGCTAACACAAAGCTGTAGTGCATACACATGTCATGCCACAGCCAGGCGCTGTGGGCCAGTGCCAGCATCAGGCAGTAGCTGCAGTCTGTTTGGCCCATGCATTTCATTGGTTTGCAGCAAACCAAAGAAATGCATGAGCAAAACACGCTACAAACTGTTCTTACATGCGTCATGCTACATGGGTATTTGCACCACATGCCACGTGGTTAGCATCAACATGTGTTGAAGCATGCACAAACCCTTGTCCTCATGTTCGTGCATGCATGAGGGTAGTGTTGTAGGAACTGTGCCAACACAAGGCTGTAGCAAACAAATGCCCCATATACATGTTTTATGCCACAGCCAGGCACTGTGGGCCAGTGCCAGTATCAAGCAGTAGCTGTGGTGTGTTCCCCTATGCATTTCATTGGTTGCATCAAACCACACAAATGCACAAACACACCTGCTACATCTGTTCTTGCATGCTTCATTCTGTGTGCAAATTTACGCCACATGGAACATGGTTGGCCACAGACTTTCATCCTTGCATTTGGGCAAGGCTTCAGGCACAGGCAAGGCTTCCACATACCTGCACTGGGCCACAGCTGGACGCTGCGGGCCAGCGCCAGTGCAATGGCAGCTCAGCCCACATCTGCGGCCTGCCCGGCAATTTACATGTGCGTGCAGATGCAGTTTGCCATTGCTGTGCTGACTTGCAGGGCAACTTGTTCCTCATAAACATTGTTGCATTGGAGCCACTTACAGAACCAAAGGCTGCAAGCATGCAATGCAACATCAGCAGGCTCTGCAAGCTCTCTTGCAGCCTGCACCGCAGTGCTGGGCCAGGCAAGGGACGGAGATCAGCTGGAGAGCCTCTGCCTCAGCTGATCAGTGAGGGCCAGATTGCGTGTGTGCAGTGAAAGGGTGCAAGGGCAATTCGCAATGCGCGCGAGAAACAAGACGTGAAGCCACAAACAAGACGCGAGGCTGACGGCGACTGACAAGCTCCCTCTGCAGGCCCTGCTCTATCAGAGCACGTGCGCGTGGGTGGAGAGCAACGCGCGATGCGAAAAGATAAGGGAAGAAACGCGTTCCTAGCTGACCTTGCTTCAACAACAATCCTTAGCCTTGTGTCAATGACTCCTTATCACATTATTGCAGCAACTGGGGTGCGACCAATGTCTTGGAGTAGTACCCCCCATCCTTGCACACGCATTGCCCGTCCTTCCAAACGCACCCCTAGGAGCTTGAGTCTGCCCTGGTGTGCTCACATATGGGTTTGGGGAAGGGACATTTGGTGCAGTGTGCCAGTGGGACCAGCACAGTTGCAAGAACCCCCCTGTCTTTTCCTTGGCCTGCTGCACAGGCCAAAAATTGCATGGAGCTTGTTGTGTGGGAGCAGTTTCTCAATAGTTGAGATTACTCATGTGGTCTCAACAACTTGTTATGTGTTCTCGACAGTTTCGCAACACGTTATCAGCCATCTCCCAACATGTTCAACAGTTTCTCAACAGTTTCTCAACAGTTTCTCAACAGCTTCTCAACAGTTGCTCAACATTTTCTCAACATGTTCTCAACATTTTGCATCAACAATGTTCCCAGCAATTTCTCAACAGCCACCCCTTCTTAATCAGTCTTGTCAGGCCAGCCAGCCACCACCACAGCACCACTAGTCCCTGCCTGAGTTCTGTCAATTGCCTTGGGCACTGTGGTCATAACATCATTTGTTGTGCTGCCACATGTAACCCTGTAGTTGCATGTGACACCCACCTACTTCCATGAGCTCTAACCTTTAGCAAGAATGGCTTCTCACTCGCATTCAAGTTGCCTGCGTCACCTAGTTGTGTCTGTCTTCTCTCATGTGGCTGCATAGCTTTTCATGGGTAACTTTCAGCACTTTTGCTCCACCAAGTGCAATCATGTGGTTTTGCAAAGTTTCATGGTATTTGTTGGCAGTTCCCAACATGTCTCATGTTTTGCACTTCTCATATCTTGCACTTCTTACATTCCCCATGATTCTAACAGCTCTTGCAAATTGAAATTTGGAACTAGCTTCAATCACTGCCTCATATGGCAAATATGTTCTCATTGCACATGGTGTGCTTGTTGCATATCCCTGCACAGTGGTCATAGTTCCAACAGCTCTCACACTTCTCATGGCTTGCCACAGCTTGCAGTAGATGTAGATATGCTGTTCATGTTCAAACATTATACCACTCTACTTTGCATACTCAAACAGTATTTTCATGCACACTTGACATAATTCAATAGCATGGTAAAAATAAGTTTTACAACTCACCAATGAATGCCTATGTGCTTCACATACACACTTGTAAATATTGGCAGTATTAGTAACATATTCAATCAGGCCTATTTGCGCAAAACACCCCACACCCTCACGCAAACAAATGATGCGCATGACATGCTCAGGCAGCATGCCAATTTCTTTGCGTTCTTTCATGCAAATTTGCTCAACCACATGGAATAATGAATGGAAATTGACACGCTGGGCTCACAGCCTGGATGAGCTGCAGCTGAGGCAAAATGTGAGGCCAGCCTGGCAAGTTTGAGCAGTGGCAAGATCTGCGTCATGTGCTTGTTGGCAAATGCGCAAACCCTGCTTGCCGTATTTGAAATGCCTGGCCAGTCACTTGCGCCCTCGCCTTGGAGCAAGTCGAGGTCAGCCTGGCAGATCTTAACTTCAGGATGCAAACAACTTCTGCAAAATGTAGAGCTGCAGGGGGCTCATGGCACTGTTTTGCCCTGGGGCTTGTGGCTTGCATATTGCAAAATGAGCATGGCGGCAAATTGTGCGTGGTTCTGCCCACCCCTCTCAACAGGATCGGTGCGTTCTCAGATTAGTGTTTGGAGGGAGCACAGGACCACTGGATCCCTGGAGCATAGGACCAATGGGCTGTACAAAGGCAAGATCTTCAAGCCAGAAATTTACTGGCCGTCAGTGTAGCCACTCTCCCACATCTGCAACAGAATCCGCTGCACTTGCTGGGATGGGGCGTCGAAGTGCCTCAGTTGGCAGGGGAGGGGGAGGGGGGGCAGGGCAGGCACACAAATGACTGGCAACAAGCTGCACAATGAGCCATTGATCCAAAGTCACTCCCAGCATTCCCAGCACTTGCCCTTGCAGCCCGACCATTTGCGCTGGGCCAGGTGAGTGACCTTGCAGTTAATGCCTTGGCCTCAGCATTCATGGCTGCTTCAAAGCATGTAGCACTGGGCCACAATTTGAATGACAAAAGCAGCTGGGAAACAGTGATTAGCACCAAAAGTTGGTATCTAGGAAACATTTGCGGGCATGGTTGAAGAACAGCTGAGACACAGTTGGCAACGTAGTTGAGAGAGTTGAGACACGGCTGGAAAAGAGTTGGTAAACATTTGATAATGTAGTTGAGAGATATTTGGGAAAGAGTCCAGAACAGTCGATAAGCCATTTGGCAAACAGTTGGAAAAAGGTTGAGAAACTGTGAAAAACATTTGACAAAGAGTTGAGAACAAGGGGATTCCAAACTGTGGGTGGCGCAGCTGAGAAACATTTGGCGGCACAGTTGAGAAATAGTTGAGACTGTTGCTAAATAGCTGAGAGCCAGCTTGTGGCGCACTTGGGACATGCTGAGAACATTGGACAGAGAGTTGGGAGCAGTTGAGAAAGAGTTGTGACAACACTGCTAACATAGTGGAGGTCTAGTTGGAAGCCCGTGGCAAAATGTGCGAACCAATTGAGAAACGCAGTTGAGTCAAAGCTTAGCAAATCTCAGGGGAAGGCAATGCAAATGCTGGGAAATGGAACGCAGCTTAGAAGCAGCTCAGGAGCAGCTAAAGCACATGCACTTTGCACGTCATCACATGGCAGGGGTGGTGCGTGAGAAGGCAAATGAACTGAGAGCAGTCTCATTTCAGTTGCTTTCCTGCTGCACCACCCCTGCATTAGCACCCACATACAAAATAGCCCTTAAAACATATTGCCCCTAAGTTGCAAGCCAAAGCACGACGAATCAGCCAGCCAAACATGATGGCAGCTGCCACACTGCGGTGGCGACCCGCTGTGCATGCGAAGCAAATGTTGAGGTCCTTCTTGCCACTCTGGATCCACAGCCGGAGCCCCTTCCTGAGTGCATTGTGTGTGAGACTGTTGGCATGTTGGACCAGTGAAGCACAGGACCACTAGACAATGTTGGACATGTGAAAGCAAAGTGTCAGGACTGG